ACTTTGGTATAAATGTGAAACAGTAAAAAAATACATTTTTGAGACAAAACCACTAATCGACAATAACATTATTTAAATAACAAAATTATAACAACATTTTATCAATAACATTATTCATAAAAGAAAATACCAATAACAAAATCCAAATAACAAAAAATACAACAATTTGTTTAAATTTTAAGAGAGATGCCTTTCTCTCGTCGATCACCTCTTATCCCGAGCCGCAGCAAATTTTGATTGTTTTAACTGGGTTTTTAAACCCAGTTATAGACACCTCTCATAGTAACACAACTAGAGAGGTCTTGTATCACTTTGGTTGTTGCTTTCTATTGTGTTAATGGATACAAACGAATTAATAAAACAAATACGAATGAAACAAACAGTATGAAATAAATTGATTTTTTCAATTTGTTCTTTAAATGATTGTAATTTTTAATTAACCACTTATTAACCTAAATATATAATAAAGCTATTCAAAACTATTAAAATTAAAAATAATTATTTTTAAAAAAGAAGATTTAAAAATGGAATAACAATTTAAATTGTTTGGAATTAAAAAATGAACAATTTGGTATTATAACATAAGATTATTATAATAAAGTAATAAAAGAAACTTTATACATGTAAAGTGGTTCATTTTCATCATAGGTTGTCAAAATATTTTCATAAAATAACAAATATTCACCACCTCAATATTTGTTACGAGGTGCCTGGACTGTTGAATACTATTTTCATGAAGTCCAAAGTTTAAGAATAAAGAAAGAATCTTAAATCATAATCAAATTATTTTACATGTTGATTGTTTATTGGAAAAGACTATATTAAGATGAAAAAACATTTTCTATAAACAAGGTTTTTAACACTAATTATAATAGAAAATGTTCAAATTTCATAATTGTTCAAATTTGTAGTTCCCGTAATTTAATGGTGTTTTGGCGCAATGAAATATAGAGAAAAAAACAAAAATGTTGAAAAAAAAGAAAAATGAAATTAGTTTGAATTGATTGGACAATTTTGTAAAGTTTCAGTTTTTTTCAAAGGGTTAAAATGGTTGGTCGTTTCAAATTTGTGCACATTCATTCCAACGGGAAGAAGCCCTAATCATTAGGAGTTTTTACTAAAGGTTCGGATTCATTTCTAAAGTACTGGGTCTATTTTCCCTACTGTATTAGAGTAACAAAAAATGATTATAAATTATTATAACGTTTTTATATTTATTAATTGAAAAATAAACTATTAACATTGTTTGAATTTACTATATTTATTAAAAATGTTTTAACTTATCTAAAATGCCTTGTTGTTCGATAAAATTCGCAATATATTGAATAGAACAGTAAAGTATATATATTAGCGTATTCTTTGTAATGTTTTGATTGTTATTGATGTGATGTATGTGATCTTTAATCTTAAAGAATAAAGCTTATGAATATTATTTTTTTTGTCATTATTCTTTTTGTATTATATTTTTAATTATTATAATTAAATATTTATAATACATTTTTATTATTTTTTTCAAAATAAATATGAAAAAGAGTGATAAACCACAATAAGTTGTTGTTTCTCGACACTATCGTTTTAAATAATCAAACTTTGAAAGAAAAAAACGTTTTCATTCTTTTTTGTACATATATGGGTTAAATTTTAGAACGAATAAGATAATTATTTTTCTTAACAAGAGATCATTTTTACACCAGCACCTAACAACTTATCTGATATGAAACAGTTTCACGATAAAATGGTAATATAGATTTGTGCACACTACAATGTTAATACAATTATAACACACTATTTTTAATTTACTGTTGTATTTCGCCATTGTGATTAAACAAATTTTTATCAATAAGAAAATATTGGTCCAGTTTTATCCTCGTTGTAATAAAAAACGTCCGTTAAAAATTGTAATTGACCCGTCACCCAATGAATGGTTATAAAAAGACAAAAAATGTTGAATTTCAAATGAAAACATTCCAAAATCGGTTAGTAGTTTTTTCTTCTGTTTTAATGGTTGTTTTTTAAATCAAAGGTTGTTTTGAGTATTGAATTTTTATTGCTTGTCCCATTAAGTCACAAAAAATCAAAATATTATGGGTTATCAACAAAAATAATAACAAATAATTTAAGTGAATTATGTTATACATTTGGTTCCAAAAGTAGTTCTACAAATATTTTTAATGTGTTTATGGATTTTGACCACTTTATGAACCCACTATAAGTAGGAATGTAAGTAATAATTATAACAGTAATGCTTGACCTTAAAAACATGAAAAATATTTGGAAAAAAGTATAAAAGAATTATTACTCAATAAAAACTGTTGTTTTATACTCTCTTTTTAGACATGATATCGACCAAGCTTGAAGATATCATGTCTCTTCAGTTCATAACCGAAAAAATGGAATTTAAAATGTGTTCAAAACTCCCAAAAATTGGAGTGAAAAAACCACGCCAAGATGGAGAGGGAAATTATGAAAGTCACAGAAGAAATCAAACCAAACAAAGAAGTCACAAATTACAGAAAAATTTGTTTAGAATGTTTAAAATGTCCTTTTGTGTTTTTTGAAAAATCGTTATTCTTTAAATTATCTTCGGGAAGAGAGCATCTAGGCATGATTGTTTCCACTTTATAAAGTGATAGCTTTGTGACATTAAGAGCACTTGCCATGCTTTTAGAAACACACCCGAAGTCGTCCAATTGAAGAGTTTTGTGCATTTTCTAACATGTTTTCAAACGCAGCAATCATCAAACGACTCTTTGCTCCACCTGATGAAATAGCAACAGTTTCCGTTTCTAATTTGAAAAGGAAAAGTAAGAAAACTTTTTTCTTCCATTGAAATTTCGGTGTTGGTCAGTCATATTAATGAATTATTATAGCAAATCGAGTTTTCGGGAAACTCGGGGTAACACATTCCATTCAAAAAATTCAAATTTCCAGTATTTGTGACAACTTCCATGTATTATACCATAAAGATCACCAAGTCTCCGGCAGTCCTGTGACGCGCTTCAATAGAGTCTCTAGCTTTTCATATTCACAATTGGCGAATTGGAGGAGATCCAGAACTGAATTGTTCGAAAAGACGTTTTTTAATTGAGTTCAGTTCCATTTTTTGTTTTTGGAAAAAACGCCGTTTTTAGTCTTTATCAAGTAATTTCTAATTATAAAAATAGAATGAGTGGTAATTCCCAAAAATAAACCTAAAATAGCTAACCAAGAATCATTTTTTAGGCATTTTGGCCAATCATTTTTCTGTCAATCAATTTATTCTTTGTCAAGTAATTATTCTGTTTCTTGTATCACTTAAAAAATAAAAAATATATTTTGTGTTTATTTAAAACAGTAACAGTATTGTAAGACTAATTAATTTACATATTGAATTGTTATTGAGAATGACATAAATAATATGTAGAATATTTTTAAATAATAAAGTAATTAACTTAAATACATACAGAAAACATGTAAACAATAACACTAAACAGTAACTAATAATTGTCACATTGGTAATAACAATATAATACAATAAAACCTTTTGTTGTTCATTTTGATTAATGATAAAAATATGTATTTATGTGTTACACTTATTTGTCATTTTTTTATTTGAGTATTTATATTTATTTTTTAAATTGTTAACACTCAAATGGCCTAAAGCTAAGAAATATAATTTTTAAAATAGTTTTTTACCAAATTTGATTTTTGCCTTTGTTTTCAAAATAAAATTTGATAGAATTCATATAAAAATAATTAAGAAAGTGAAGACTTAATAAAATAATTATTTTGTATAATCATAATAACATAAACTAAAATTATAGAAATTTTTAAAATTAGCAAATAAAAAATGATGTTTGGAGAATTTGTAAACAATTGTTTTATTATATTAATTATATAACTAAATAAATAACTAACTAAACTGTTTTATTTATTTTTTATTTATTTATCTTATTAAATTTTAATAATTTAAAGAGATTATTTTTTGGTTTTTTTATTTAAAATCTATTTTTAATAACATAAACTAAATCTTCGATAAAAAACAAAATATTATCAAATTAAAAAGCAACTTGCTGTTCATCTATTCAACACCAACGTAAATCAAATTAAATTGAGTTTGTTATGATTCGTTTTCGTAATATTAATATACGTCTTGTTTAAGCGACAAGATTTGTTATATATGTATTTAGTATATTATTATTTAATAAAACAAATTTGGGGTTCTGAGATATAGTAAAATATCACAAAAGTGGCACTTCGGAAGAGCGGGTTCTCTCATGAGTAAGCACTTTAGACTGAAACAAAAATCAAGTTTTCTATAGAGTGGTGATTAAGGTCTGATTGTCTAAAATGACCGTTCTTAAGAGAACAAAAATTACCATACATTCTTGCTTTTGAAAGGGTTGACTTTAATTTGACAAATGTGTTGCTATTTTTAACCTCAAAAACAAATCTTAGGTAATTGAGTCCTCATATTTATTATTTTTGACTAAGTTTTGGGTCATTTTTCGGGTTTTCGGCCAAGAAGGGGTTTTTGGTGTTTTTTAACAACCTTTTTCAAGAAGGCATTTTTTGATATTGTTATTATTCTAATAAAATTTTGGTTTTCGGCCAGTTAAGTGTTAAAATTAACAAATTGACGAACAAATACACAGAAACTTTAAAACAAAAACTTGGTAAAATTCCATAAAAATATAACACATGAAACAACATATTTAATATGTTTTGTAAAATACACAAAACATACCAGTTAAAATAATTCATTTACAAAGTTTCAAATTTTAAAAACTTTAATAGTCAAAATGTTTGTAAATAATTAAAGTTATTTAAATATGATATTCAAAAAATAAACTTTGAGTTGTCTATTTTTATGATGATAAAACACCCAAAATACAAAAAATTATACAACAATATTAATTTATTTTTATTATTTTAAGTCATTGTAATTGAAATAAAAATAATACTTGGCGAAATCATGTGTTATCATTGTTTTGAATAATGATTGATCTTTTTAATTGATTATGATATCATTTGCAATAATGTTATTTTTTGTAGCCATTGCAAATTCATATGAATGTGATTGTTACCCAATTGGAATGAAACAAAGTGATGGATTTATATCATACAATAATTCTAAATGTGATGACAATGTTATGTTGTCTATTTCATCCATTTGTTTGGATAAAAACTTTTATTTTATATCATTGAATTCGATTGGTTCATTAATATTGTCGTCTTCAAACGTTTTTATTATCCGTTCAAATTCGTGGATTAATGTTTTACAACTTTTTGATATAAGCAAAAACACGAATGTTATCCTCCAAGGATATTTTCACTCAAACCTAAATTTGACTATCGAAGATAACGCAACAATTAATGTTTATGGTTCATTTTCAATTGGTGGAGAATTCTTGATTGAAAATCCGCAACTTGACAAGCCACCAATTGTGTTATGGCAATCTAATTGGCTCCACTTATATTCAAATGTTACAAACAAAGCATTTTTTATAACAAATCCCATTGGAAATTCAAAGTGTTTTGACGTGTTTTCAATGAACAGTCCTTATTGTTTAAACTCTGACAACAACGATAATCGTTTAAACACAACCGATTTTCCTTATAATTTTACTGATGGAACTGCATTTCTTTTATCAAATAGTAGACTGATGAGATTTTGTCCAAAAAATATACCACAAAACAAAACCGTAGTGTGTACTTTAAATCAAAGTGTTTATCAAACAAATTACAATGGAAATAAAAATTACGCGTTTGAATATCCACACTGCCCATGTGACGATAGCAACACAATATGTTATTTGTATATAAATCAAAACATTTCAATTGTAACTTTACAACACATTGAAATGCTTAATACCATTCTCGTCATTGACAAAGATGTAAAAATATATAATGCAAATAAAATCAAAGAAATTCAAATGAAAGATGATATCTGTGTAAATATAACATCGTTGTTTGAAGATGGAATAATCAAATTTTCATTTGGGATACTAATTGTAAAAGAAAGTAACACACAAATTACTTATTTTTTGAATTACAATTCAACAGTGCGCACATTAAGTCTTTATCCAAATTTGAATTTTGATATTGAAATATCAAGTATTACAACAGAGATAAAAATGGAAGTAGAAGGAATTATTAATAATATTTTTATTGGCGGGAATTGTTTTGTTTTATTTAAAGAAAAGATGACAGAAATACATAAATTAACATTGACGGAATCATTCAGTACAAATGATATCGTTTTGTTTTATTTTGAGAATAAGACAGTTGAAAATTTGATAAGTCCAAATTGTATTTTGATGAAAAGTTCATTGTCAAAAACAATTTGTTTAGAATGTAATTATAAAACAAGACTTGATGATGGCATATGTGTTGGTTTAACTTCAAATTGTAAAACGTTCAACATGAATAATTATTGTGTTGAATGCGAAATTGGTTTTTATTTAGATGCCGACAACAAATGCATACAAAATAATAACAATTGTCAGATTGGTGATGAAAATAAGTGTATTAAATGTGATAATTATCATGTTGTTCTATATGGAGTATGTATTTCAAATAATAAATGTGAATGGTCAAATGGGATAAACTGTTTGAAATGTTACGAAGGAGAGCTCAACACCAATTGTGATACATGTAGTGATGTCAACTGTATGACATGTAAAAACAGTGAATGTATTATATGTCATGATAATTATTATCTTGGAAATGACGGAATTTGCCATTCTACAATTGAAAATTCGATTTATTTTTACAACAACATAGTTTATTGTGTAGATGGATATTACATTAATAACTCAGAGTGTAACAATTGTTTAACAACTAATGCAAACTGGACGAAATGTGATATCGAGAAGCCAACGAAATGTTCAACGAATTATGGAATCACAGAGAGTGGAAATTGTGAATCAACAACGTGCAAAGAAAAAGAAAAGATGGAACAAAATGGGAGGTGTTCTGAAACACAAGATAATTGTGTGTTTACACTCAATAATAAATGCGTTGAATGCATTGATAATTACACAACAGATGACAGTGGAAATTGCATACTAAACAGTGGAAATAACTCACAAGTCAATTGTAAAGAAACAACAAAATATGGATGTGCCAGGTGTGATGACAAATACTATTTAATACATGGGAATTGTGTGAGTTGTGATAGCAATTGTGGCACCTGTTTATCAACTTCAACGTTTTGTCTTTCTTGTAAAGAAGGAACTTTTTTGAGTCAACACAAATGTATTACCAACAATAACTTGGATGGTGTTTGCATACAGTTTATACCCTCGGGTGGGTGTGTCAAATGCACTAATGGTTATTTTAGAAGTGGTCTGTCTTGTGAAAAATGTGATGTCAAATGTGGGACTTGCAACAACAGAGAAAGTTGTTTGACTTGTAACTCTTCAAATTATCGAACATCTAACAATGAATGCAAACCACAAAGCGACATTGTTGGATGTCAACTAGAAACAACACAAAATGGATGTTCAAAATGTTCTGGTAGGTATTTCACAGTCAACACAAATGAATGTGAAAAATGTAACGAGACTTGTTTAACGTGTTTACAAACAAAAGATGTGTGTACTTCGTGTGATACAAATGATGTTTTGGTTGACTCAAAATGTATTGATATTTCATTAATTGCAAATTGCAAAGAAGCTGGTCAATCGAAATGTACTAAATGTTCATTTTGGTACATTCCAAGTGCAAATGGCACTTACTGCAATTCTCATATTGTGTGGTGGATGATAATTGTTATTGTCATTATATGTATAATGACATTTATTGTATTGACAACAATTGTATTTGTTTGTATCAAAAAAATCATTAAAAAAATTGAATTAAAGAAAAGAGAGAAAACCACAACTCTGTTCAACATGAAAAAATCAAACATATCATTCACTTCATTGCAAGGCGGAGTTTGTATCAACAAAACGGTATTGTTATTTAACACCAATTGTGATGAGATACCAGTTGGCAAAGAGAGTCGTGAACTTCTATGTGTTGGTAATATAATATCCAAAACTATAAAAATCCAAATATCATCAAAATTAAACGAAGAGAATTATCAACTCAAAATTGAACCAAGTATTGTTATTCTAAAGAAAGGGGTTGCGTGTGAATTTTCACTCCATTTAATACCAAATTACTCATCAAACATCACAAGCGAAATTGCTTTGGTTTCTAAAAACTTGTCAAGTGGAGTTGACACATTTAACACAATAAAAATGATTGCAAAAACAGTAATGACCACAAAACTCGACTACCACGAAATTATAGAAGAAAAAAAACTTGGGGAAGGATCTTTTGGTGTCGTTTACAAAGGGACTTTTAGAGGTAATGTTGTTGCTATTAAAAAGATGAAACAATTTGACAACAATGAAAAGTCAATTGATGAATTTGATAAAGAAGTTGAGATGATGGACAAATTTAGGAGTGAATATATCGTCCACTTTTATGGTGCCGTATTCATACCAAACAAGGTGTGTATGGTCACTGAATTTGCACAATTTGGATCTTTACAAGACTTGATAAAAAACAAAAGAAATGACGAAGTTAAAATGAAAATTCGAGTTAAAATGATGTTAGATGGAGCAAGAGGAATATTGTATTTACACGAGAATGGGATATTACATCGAGACATCAAACCAGACAACATTTTAGTATTTTCTCTTGATCTGAACGAGAAAGTAAGTGCAAAATTGACCGACTTTGGAAGTGCAAGAAATATTAATATGTTGATGACAAACATGACATTCACAAAGGGTATTGGGTCTCCAACTTACATGGCACCCGAAGTGTTGAAACAAGAAAAGTATAAGAAAGAAGCGGACGTTTATTCTTTTGGGGTGACTTTATTCGAAGTGTGTGGGTGGTGTGAAATATATACAAAAAGCATGTTCAAGTACCCATGGAAAATAGCCGAGTTTGTGTGTTCGGGAAAAAGAGTTGAAAATTCAAACAATATACCAAACAATCTATTTAAAATTGTTCAAAATTGTTGGAAACAAAACCCAAAAGAACGTTGTAGCATTCAAACTGTTGTTGAAGATTTAGACAACGTCACAAACTTTACATAAATCAATTTATATAAGTTATATTGTTATATTTTTGTTGTAAATAAAATAAATTTGTGATTAACAGTTGTTATGTTTTTGAGTATTTTATCATAATAATTATTAAACCATTTCAAATGTTTATTAGAATGATTATTATAAAATTGTTACATCAACTATGTTTTGTTATTATATTAAATTGACAGTTAAATTGACTAATAACCAAAATTTCACCAAAAAGAGTTATTCAGAATAGCCCTTATCACGCCACTTGGGCGTCATCATCCTCTATGTCGTCAACCAAGGACAACGCAGAGAATGCTGCCTTAAGGTTCTTGGCAGGTAAAATTGGGTCTGCTTTCTTGTAATACCCAATGACAACAACGTTCTGTCCTCTGATGATATTGATACCCTCGTTATCTCTCACTGCAGTTACCATCCCATCTATGGAATCGGAATTGGTCACTGAGAACTTCTTACCATCAACCATCACACCATCGGAACACATTGAAGAGACCTTTTGCTCATTAAAAGTGTCTGCTATGGTCTTCGCTTCTTCAACTGAAATGTGAATGCCTTCTTGACTCAAAATCGCACCATCGGACTTCAAAATAATTCCACCATTCCCACACGATGGCAAAGTAAGCAACTTTGACATGTCAGCCCAACTCAATTTGCCATTCTCGATTTTCTGTAACTCTTTGTGGAATATTGACGGCATCACAACTTTGTTATCTTGTGGAAGATTTCCATCATTAATTAAGGTCTTCAATGCATAAGTTGCAATGTGATTTTGGCCAGCAGTGACCGGCTTTGAAGTATTGTTATAGTAACCAATGACTATAGTGTTCTTTCCTTTGACTATGTTAACTCCACTGTTGCCTTTCATTGCTGTAACTACACCTTCCTCTTTGTCGGAATTGGTCACTGCATACTTGTGATTCCCAATGGTCACTCCGTTCATCTGGAAATAGTCCACCTCACCTCCAATTACTTTCTGGCTGATAAGAGTTGCTTCTTCTTGATTGAGATTGAGGCCTTCTTGATCAACAATTGCTCCAGAATGAGTCAACACGGCTACTCCATGACCTTTTCCTTCCGACTTGATTGCTTCAAACCCGCCTTTGTAATCAAATTGCTTGACTTCTTTAACTTCTTCTTTCTCAAATTTCTCCACAACGTTATTTGAGACCACAGTTAACTTTTTCTCTTCCTCAATAGTGTATTTCTCAAGTTCTTTGGCAAGTTTGTATGTTGCGAGGTGATTATCAGCAGGTAACACTCTTGACGTTTTCATGGTGAAGTACCCAACAACAATGATATTGTTTCCTTTAACAACATTGATCCCTTCATTCTTCTTCATAGCAGTAAAAACGCCTTCGTCATCATCTGAATTGGTCACTGGGAATTTTTTGCCATTGACTTTGATTCCATTTTCTCTCAGAAGGGTATAATTGTTCTCTTTAAACACCTCTGCAAGTGCTTTCGCTTCTTCTTCAGTCATTTTTATTCCATCTTGTCCAAGTAATTGTCCGTCACTTCGTAAAATTGCCCCACCATGTCCCTTCGTTGGTCCAACAAGTAACTTCACCAAGTCGTCCCAACTGATTTCTCCCTTTCTCTTCAGTGCAGAAAACTCCTTTCTAAAAACAGATGGTACAGAAAACGGAATTTCTTTTGGAAGCTCTCCATTGTTGATAATGGTCTTCAGTGAGTAAGTCGCAATGTGGTTTTGACCAGCAGTGACCGGCTTTGAAGTATTGTTATAGTAACCAATGACTATAGTATTCTTTCCTTTGACTATATTAATTCCACTGTTGCCTTTCATTGCTGTAACTACACCTTCCTCTTTGTCGGAATTGGTCACTGCATATTTGTGATTCCCAATGGTCACTCCGTTCATCTGGAAATACTCGAAATCGTTGCTGAACATTTTGTCTGCGATCAGGACAGCTTCGTTGTCAGTCAAATTGATTCCACTTTGACTCATGATCTTCCCGTTGCGTCTGACAACTGCACCACCGTGGCCATTGGTAGTTTCGGTCAGCACAGACATTGCTTTTGTTAATGCTTGCATCGTTTTGTTCATCTCTCTGAAATTATTATTAAATAATGGCTTTAAATATTATGGTCTTGATTTTTGAATTGTTGCTTGTTATGTGAGATTCTATTTGGTATAGTTTCCTGAAATGTTATATAATTAATGACTTAAAAAAATGAGACTTTTTGAAGAACATAAAACTTCAACCATTGAAGTTTTTAAAAGTGAAAACTTCAATAAACAGAGTTATGTTACTCCACTAACATGTAATAAAAAAGGAAGTATAATTGCTTTTGGTATGTTTTTCGTATGGTTTGTAAAATTATAATATATGTTATATTGAATTTTTAATCTCAAAATTATTATAAAAATTTACATTATATTTAAATTCACAGTTAACTATATAAAAACTAATAAAAAATACCTTTTTAAATTAAAAATTGATTTACTTTTGATTTCATAAATTGATGATTTGTTTTCAATTGAGCAATATTTGAACATGTTTAAAATGCTGAGTGACGTACTTTTAAAGGATATTGTACTTATTCAGAAAACACATATTTTCTAACCAATTATTATTGTATATATTATTGATTTATTTTTAGTATTGTTGTTAAAAAATATATCAACAACATGAGTTTCAACGAAGTACAACTGTATCGAATACAAATCTTAATATTAAACACAATTATTTCACAACATAAAAACATCATAATTAATGGCTTACCATTTAGTCTTCTGAAAAGGAATAATCTTCATCATCAAACTCATAGTCGTTTTGTTCTTTTATTGCTTCGTTGAAAGTAATTTTCTTAGTTGCTCGTTCTATCATTTCTTTCATTTCTATTCTGTAAAGAATTTCTCTTTCTTCTCTTAAAATGGGTTCGATTGTGTTATTTTCAATTTTCTCCAAGATCTCTGGATATGAATAATCTTCAAACACTTTCTGTCCTGTTTCGTATTTAGAAATATAAATTTTTTTGGTGTTTATATTTGTGTTGTTAATTTGTTCAAACAACGCTGTTGCAAGATCAGTCAAGTTTTCTATAGTGGTTATATACATCTTTCGAGTGATATTGTTCTTTGCAATAACAAAACTCTCTGCATGCATGTATTTGAAACCCCATGAATTATTCTGAGGATGCGCTTGAGCATAAATCTGTTTGGCGTGATTCATCACAATAGCACCATAATTCTTTTCGACTCTTCGTGGGTAATTCGCATTTTCCATTGTAACTTTGTATAACAACCCATTCCCAAACACTCTAAAATTCCTATTGAAAAGGTTACACTCAAACGAGTCTGTAAAACTGATCTCAAATGCGTTCTTCTTTGCTTTGTCCAATGCTTTTTGACTCACCACTTTATTTCCAGTATAGTTTTCTTTCGTATTTACATCTTCAACTTTGGGGATGAACTCATCGTCAACTCGATCTCTCACTTTCCCATTTAATTTAGGCAAATACCTTCCAACTATGTCTTCGGGAATACAGACGTCTTTCACGAACTGTTTCTCAGCAGCAAATTGTTTGATTTTCTCTTCAGACTTTTTCACTCGGTCAAAATAAGAAGCTTTTATATCCAAATCCATGACATGTGAATTCTTGTGGTCCAACACAAGTACGAAGTGAAGTGTATTGTACTTCGTTAAACGTTTCAGTTCATCGTCATGCTCAACAAATTCATCATTCTGCTTTTGGAGCATTTCTATTTGTTTCATCTTCAATTTAATGATGTTATTAATCGACTCTATTGACTCTTCGTCGTACACAAACTCCTCATTGCCTTCTGTAGACATCGTGCTGATTTTGCTTTTGGGATCTTTCAATAGAGTTATTGTCTCTTCCAACGAAGTAATGATAGACTTAACTGTTTTGACATTTCCATCCACTTGATTGTACTTTTTAATTCTGATTTTCAAGTCTCTCTCAGGCTTCTCCGCTTCATATTTCTTTTGAATGTTTCTGAGGAACTCGTCGCCTTTCTTTTTGTAGTCATTCATGAACTTTGCAGCTCTTCGTGTCATGTTATTAAGTAAAGAGAGTCCATAATTGTAGAACAGTGCAATCAAAATTGGTTCTCTTGAGATGCCAATTTTGGCTGCGGCGTCGACTAATTCGTAAAACACTTTTTGCGTCTTTTTGGCGGCTGAAAGAACAGTTTTGGACTTTTCTGTCTTGAGACGTTCATCAAGGTCTTCAGCAATTTTGACGTGTCGTGACTTCCTTTGAATGATAGCAAGTGGTTCTGGGAATGCAGAGAAAAAAGTACCGAGGTTGTACTGAGGAAGATCAGACTCAATGACTTGAGCAAGTTTCTCTGCTGGAAGTTCTTTTGATTGTTCCAAGCCAATGACCTCGGCGTTAATAACATTAATACATTTATTAATACGTGCTCTGCGTTGTTTTAATTGTTTTACAAAGGCTGAGTCGCTCTTTTTTATTTCTCGTTGTTCGGCGAGTTTTTCTTCGTCAGTCACTTTTTTGACATACGCCTTCGACTTTTGGGTGTTGTGTTTGTTGTGAGTTGGCTGGGTGGGTTTGCTGAAGTCGCGTTTTTGATAAAGGGATTTGTCAGAGACACGGAATGGCTTGGTTCGGATAGGTTTTAATACTGTTTCCATTGAATGAATGTTTGAATTGTTTATTTTTCTGATTTATTATATTCACAACCTGGCATTTAAAGAGTTAGATATAAACAATGAAAGTTCGGTAGTTTTTTGAATGATTTTTTTTATAATTTAAATAAACTGATTTATTGGTTTTTGTTGTGAGGTTTTGGAACTAAAATTGTGTTATACTTATAATTATTAAACTATTAGTTATAAGTGTTTTTATTATAAAAATATTTATGAAAGAAGTATTAACGTTTAACAAACAAATAAATTTAAATATTTATTGTTCAAGTTACAGAAGGAATAATAATTACTTGACAAAGAATAAATTGATTGACAGAAACATAATTGTCCAAAATTCCTTGATAAAGATTTATGGTTAGTTGTTTTGGGTTTATTTTTTTCGGGAATTACCACTCCTTCATTTTTTATAATTAGAAATTGATAGACAAAAAGTAAGAACAGCGTTTGATTTTTCTGAAAACGAAAATGGAACTAAACTTTATTAAGAAACGTCTCTTCAAACAATTCAGTTCTGGATCTCCTCCAATTCACCAATTATGAGTGTGAAAAAACCGAGACTTTACTGAAGCGCGTCAATGGTACTGCAGTAGACTTGGTGATATTTGTGATATAATACGTAAAAATTTTGACAATTATAAGTAATTTTCTGAATAGAAATTGGTTGCTCCAAGTTTCCCGATAACTTAATTTGCTATATTGAATGGTTGATATGACTAACCAACACCAAAGTGCCAACGGAGAAAAAGCGCGTTCTTTCTTCTACTTTCCAAATCAGGTAAAGTAATTGTTGCCATTTCATCGGGTGGAGTATAGAGTTGTTTGGTTATTGTTGTTAAAAATGTTACAACGTTATTAAAAAAACTTTGGAAAATGCACGAAACTCTCCAACAAGACGACTTTAATGTGTATTTCAAAAAAAACATATCAGGTGCTCATAATGTTACAAAAATTACACCTCATCAAGTGGACACATTTGTCTCAACTTGCTCTCTTCTCGATGCCAATTTAAGGAATGATGAATATTTGGCAAAACACAAAGTAATATCTTCAACATTCTAAACATCTTTTTCTCTGTGAATTGTGATTTTTTTTATTGCTTTGGGTTTTGTTTCTAATATGGTTTTTTATGTTCATCTCCATCGCAGTGTGGTCTTTCACTCTACCTTTTTGGGGAGTTTTGAACAACTTCAAAAACTTCGGATATTCAATTATAATTTGAGAAGACACAATATCAACAAGCTTTATCAATATCGTGTCAAAAAAGAGAAAAACCAACAATTTTAATTGAATAATAATTTTTTATGTGCTTTTTATTTAAATAATTTTTGTGTGTTTTCAGGTCAAGCATTACTGTCGCAATCATTACTCACATTCCTTCTCATAGCAAACCCAAGTATGTGGTAAAAAACGATTTGTTTTATTTAAGAAATGTAAACAAACCCACCTATGTTGGTTCTAAAACCTCGATGAAAATTACACTGTAATTAAAAAATAGAAATTTGCCATCCTTTTTTCTTTGTCAAGTAGTTATTCAGCCTTCTGAATTCGTATAAGAAACGATTCTAATAATTATAAAAGGACAATAATTAATGATATATTTTAATTTAAAAAGAACTATTTCAATCAAGTTTTTTATTATTTTATTGTTTTCATTCTTTATTTCTAAATTATTTTTTAATTTTTGTTGTTGTGTGAATAACATTTTCAAAATGTTTTCACAACAAAAATTATTTAATTGAATACATTTGATGATTAGTGGTATTTTGCCAAATATAGAACCCCAAAAAGATGTTATAAAATCTCACCAATTTTATCTGTTATCTTATATATAAAAATATTTTTTTTCATTTTTTAATTAATATGTAGTAATAAATGGAAATTTATTAATTATTTTTAAAAAATACTTTTTAAATAATTCAAAATCAATTTTATTTTTTTGCCTTTGTTTTTAAAATAAAATTTGATTGATTTTTTATAATAAAATCTGTCTAAAACGTTGTCCGCTTGGCAATAATTTACACAAAACAAAATTAAAAACTTGTTAATAAAAAATTTTGAAACCCTAGCAAAAATTGTGAAACAATGTTTTTGAAACGTTTCTAATTGTTTTCCGAAATATTCCAGTTTAGATGGTCTAAAAATGCCCGGACAACGTTAGAAAACGTTGTCACATTTAATAATTTTGAATGTAAAGACGGTACCGTCCTTTCCCACCCTCACCCCGTTTACCAAAAAAATAATTGCCGCGAGTGTTTTTTGAAGGAAGTCCACCTTTCAGCCACTGTATTTGCGTTCCTATGTCACCCACTTTCTTTGTCCATACTATGTTGACTCGTTTGTGGTTCCTGTGCTTTTGGGTCACGGTGGATCCACGCTAATTTTACATGAAATTGTGTAATAATTGGACAAATAAAAACAATCGGGTTTGTCTTTTTGGGTATTGTTATCGATGTTCCGTTACACACTATTTACTGGTTATTGTTTGGCAAATGCAATGATTTACTTTAGTTTTAATATAATTGGAATTATAATATAATATGTTTATTAGTTAATGTTGGTCATTGTAGATCTAAATATAAAAAAATATAATTAACATTTTTTTACTTAAATGTTTTAATTTAAAAACAGTCAAATTTTATTATTTATATTTTAATACACACTTGTGTAATAAAACTAAAAATAATATTACAAATATATCATATTATACCTTTTTACACACATATTTTCACAGATTTTATTCGACATAAATTGCGTTTAAAATTTCCATGACTCTTTTTTTGGTTAAAAAAACTTTTTCTTTTGTTTTTAATTTTTCGAAACAGTCATTCCATATTTTTGTTCCTAAATTAATGATCATATCTCTTTCTATAATTCTTCCATCGGGCATTTGAATAAAAACGTTTCCTCGTATACCTTCTCTGTTTTCATTCTCGTAATATACCACAAAACCTTCGTTAAATAATATATCTTCCAATAAATGCAAAACTTCTCTCTTTTTTTCATTTACTACTTTACGATGTGCTGTTGTTGCATTAAAGCCATTTTTGATAAATAAATTCAGCTTTTCATTAAGCCTAATTTTCACATACTTTTTGACATCGAAAGTATACAATTCTTCACTAAAGTTTATAAAATTAACACATAAGAATTCGCGACTAAGTTTACTCTGTTTCTTTTGTTTTGTTAGTTCTATTTCTGCTTTGGTTGCTATAAATGCAAGTAAGGCACATTGGAGATTAGATATCATAGTACGCTCTCTAACGCATTGATTTTTTTTCTCTGATTCTCGATTTTGTCGACATATTCTTAATTTTTTTAGTTTATTTAAAATAAATTAAATAGGTGTTTTTCTTCATTTTTTGATAAAACAAATAAAGACTGACCCTGGTGTTTGATTTTTGATTAATTTTTAAAATAATTTGTAATGACCAATTAAAAAAGTTTAAAAACATAAAATGATTTGATGAAATATCGACAATTCTTAATTTATAATAACTACACAAAAATTGATATTTTTATATCAAGTATCAACTATTCCATATCAATAAAAATTACAATAAAAATAGAATTGAGTAGTTATGAAAAATTGATGAGGTTTTTTTAATATATTTTATTGACACATGAAATGTTTATAAATTTTAAAATAAAAATATAAAAAATGTTTTAACACTCAAGTTACAATTTTTAAATAAATTATTTTTAAAATCGAGATTACATTTTTGATTGTTTTGGCTTGATATTGTCATTGTAATATTTAAAAGGGTCTAATAATTGACTGAAATTATCATTTTGTTTTTGTATTACTATTAAAACAACAACAAAACGGAATTGTTTAACTAAACACTTAACTTGCTTCTTATTTTAATTTTTGGGTACACTCTTTTAAGTTGTGTTAAAATTTATAACTAAAAATGAACAAAGTCGGTTCAAATCGTTTTTCTAAGAGGTGTGTAATAAATTCAATATTTTAATAAATATAATCTTATTATTATAAATATTTCAATAATTACACCAATTGTTTTAAAAACAAATGGAAACATTCCAAAAATAATTAAATATGAATACGATATTTTAAAATGACTTTAAACTTTATTCAATTTATTATCTGAGACGGAAATTCTAAATTATTTTTATTTAAACACACATTTTTATTTTAAATTTTTATCAAATCTGAATATTGATACCATATTGAAAATATAATATCAATGTTTTCAACATTATACTTATAATTAATTTAAACAAGTAAAAGTCAATTTAAAGTTATCACAATCAATATTAATTGTATAAAAACGATTTTGGAATTCATTTCAATTATACTTGTTCAAAAATATTTACTTAATAGAATGATAATTGTTGATGTGTTTTATTATACATAAATGAAAACAATCACAATTTTTGTAATAATGTTCTATAAATTAAATTATATATATTTACATTGTCATTATATTATTATTTTAATTTGAATCTTATTGTTATAAAAATTATATTACAAATGATTGTATTATTGATAAAATAACAAAAATATTGTTATAATTATGTTATTTTTTGTATAAACTTTGTTGTCAACATGAAACTTCACATAAATGTAGTTAATAATAAGGCAAAAGCATAAATATTTATATTTCGATATATATTATATCAAAGTTAAAAACAATATTAAAATATAATTTGATTCTTATTCATTGTTATTTGATATATAATACACTCTTGATAATTTATACAGTGAATTAATTATTGTTAAAACAAACAATAATATTTTATTGATATTCAGGTATGTGTGTTAAATTTAAAATTATTTTGATTATATCGACAGTTTTAAATTTAAGATTGTTTAATAGTTTGTTTGATTTGTGTACAACACTTTACAACGCTCATGAAAACATCAAGAAATATAGTAAAAAACAATTATTAGTTTTATAATCTGCTTGTTTAAAAAAAGATTAAAATTTAAACATGTAAAATGTATATCATTTTACATGTAATTGTTAATTAAAATAAATACTAAATTTAAGATTTTAATATATAATTATCATAAAATGATAAAGAAAAATAAACTAAATTATGTTATAAAGTTGAAACAATTTACAATGTTTTTAAAGAATATATAAGAATAATAAATAGAATGAATATGAATAAATTGGGTCTTCTTTCGTGTTTGTTTTTAATATGTTTTGTGGCACTTCGTGGATGATTTTACTTTTATAAAATTATACATAAACCTTAATAATAAATTTAATTATAATATAGTATTTCGTAATAATACAAAAATCTAATATTTGTTAACAATTAAATTAATTGAAAAAATTGAATAAAAGTAGTTATATTTATAAAAAAATAATAATTTAGAATATTATAATATTTATATTTACTTTTAATAAAAAAATGTAAATTTGATTCAATTCATCACTAGACTTAACTAAAAAAGCTAAAATGACTTCTTTGCAGATGGTAATGCCTAATGGAACTTCTGCAGACGGGTTTGACTCCATATACATCACTCCAATATCATACTTTCAATACCTCCCAAATAATAAATTGTATGATATGTGTGGGTATGTCTTAGACATCAGTGGAGTCGAGAAGTCAAAAGATGCAACCGACAAAAGACACGTCTTAGTCGTTGATTGGACTTGCCACACTGTCTTAATAAAGTTTAAAGCAATTGACATGAAAATTGTTGAATCGCTCAAGAAAGGTAAAATTTATGTGTTTGAAGGAGTTCAGTTAAAACAGAAAAAACACAAGGAAATGGTGTGGATGAGTGGTGTGTCAAAACTTATTGATGAAGACTCCAAGAACTATAAAGAAGTTAAAATGACAAAAAGAGTTGTAGAAACCAATAGTAAATCAAATGAAGGTTTTGACCTGTCACAAGATAAGCTTGCTTACTTAGAAAAAGGTGGAATAAATTGGAATTTGTATTGAAGTAATTTACAATACTCATTTATACGTTTTTATAATTTGTATAATATTAAGTATATTACAAATATATTTGAACTACAAATGATGTTTATTTAATGGTGATTAGTTTTAACAATAAATATAAAAACGTTTAAATACATTGGTGCCATCTAAAATTTTATTATTAAAACAATTTAGTTCTGTCATTCACACACAATAGAATCATATTGTATATATTATTATTCACAAATGGAATTTGTACGAATAAATATTTTTAAAAGAAATTATTGTAAACGACAAAAGAATAATTTTATGTGTTATAAATTAATGTTAATAACATAGACAACAGCACAATGTATTAGTATAATTATAGTTATTCAAAAGATTTATTGAAACTGTCATTTTTGATAAAAATTGTTATTTTAAACTTAATTATTTTTTGTATGACTTTGAAACAAATGTTGTTATTATTGTGAAAAACATGATTTTTTTGTCGAAACCTATATCTAAATTTTTGGATCAAACAAAGAAAATATCGATTGTAACATTTTAGAAACACACAAAAATTGTTTTTTAATAAGAATTTGATAAAGAAAAATTTAAAGTAAAATATAAAAAACTTGATTTCTAAAAGATGAGTTCCCTTGATGGATATCACATTATGATCATTTCTCAACACTTCAAATCAATTCAAGATTTGAAAAACATCGAATTTGTAAATAAGAAATATAAAGAAAATATGGCAAAGTTCCATTTTAACCCTATTCCACTTAACAAAACAACAATAAAATATTTTCCAAATATAGAAACATTAAATCTTTGGAATGATAAGGCTGAGTGTTTTGGTAACAATTTAATAAACACTAACACGACTTCTGTACAATCAAAGACCAAATTTTATCGGATTAATGTGTGGTTTGAAGTTGATTACAGTACATTTAATAACCATCAAAATACAGAATTTTCATTTAAAAGTGTTGTATACACAAAACAAGACCGTCTCAAATTTGGAGATGTTATACCAAACAACATTATCAAATTACGTTCCGAGTGTTTTGATCACAGTTCAGTTTCTTCTTTAATTATTCCCAATACAGTTACTTTTCTTGAAAGCAATTGTTGTTCGGGTTGCTCCAAATTGAAATCAATTAAATTGTCAAACACATTAAAAGTGATGGATTATGACTGCTTTTCATTTAACGGTGTTTTAGAGTCAATTGAAATTCCCAGTAGTGTCACACAACTTGGAGCGTGTGCGTTCTCAAGATGTTCGGCTTTGACTTCACTGACCATTTCCAAGTCACTTAACATCTTAGAAGACTTCACTTTTCACAAATGTTTTAGTTTACAAAACATCGTGTTTCCTTCGTCACTTCATTCAATCGGTAAAGAGTGTTTTAGCTTCTGTATGTCGCTTCAGACAATTGAAATACCAAATGTCACAAATTGTATTGAACAAAAGTCTTTTGCTTATTGTGACAAACTTTCTTCGGTAAAAATAAGAGGAAAAGTGAAGGACCTCAAAGCCGAGTGTTTTTTATATTGCAGTGCATTGACGTCGTTTGCTCTGCCAAAGCACGTGACTCGCATTTATAACAACTGCTTTCAGGGGTGTACAAGTTTGTGTAAAATTACACTTTCAACTAAAATTAAAGTGCTGAGTTGGGGATGCTTTCAGAGGTGTTCAAGTTTGGAGCATTTTGATGTTCCAACAACAGTGACATGCATTGAATGTTTTTGTTTCTGGGAGTGCATTAATCTACAAAAAGTTGTTTTACCAAATGGGTTCGTAAAACTAGATGATTCATGTTTTTGTGGGTGCTCAAAGTTGGTTACAATTAAAATACCAAGTACAGTTAAATCTTTAGGAACAGAATGTTTCAAAGAATGTACTTCTCTTACTATTTTTGTTCCTAAAACAGTCACGTCTATTGGTAAAAAGTGTTTTCTAAAATGTAAAAAGGTTGTTAGTGAAAACGGAAATAACGAATGTTGCATTTCGTAATTAATTTAATAGATATTTTTAATAAATTGTTTTCGTTGTTATTATTAAAAAATATTAAATTGTTTATCGAATCGTAAAGACATGAATTTTATAAAAACATCGAATCCACAAAAATTATATCACTTAACATAAAAATTAATTATGTTAAGTTATAATAATATTTCAAATATTCACAACAATCTTTTTTGCCTTTCAAAAAACATAAAAAGTAAAATGAATTTTTGATTTAATATTTAGTTTATTGACTTACTAAAAGACCAATAATGTATGATTGAAAAAAGCGCAGAAAAAAAAAACGGTTTGATCTAAAAAATCACCCAAGGTACAAGTTATAGTTTTATACCAAAATGAAAGATTTCATATATATAATTTATATATTTTATAACCTTTATTAAATTATTATTTTTTTAATTGTTGTTTGATTAAAACAAACAAATGTAAAATATTGAAAAAAGGAGAGTAAACGTGTTTATGGGCAAATTCTGTTAATAATACTTGGTCCAGTTTCATCGTATTTTTCCTTTGATACACAAGCCGACTCGAAAGTTGACAAACTTGCAAAAATGGCACCTCCTATGCAAGCAGCGTGATCTCTATTTTCTGGTGCAGTTACATTGATTTTTGCAGATACTGGTGTAAATTTAGTGAATTCACTCTTGAATCTCCCGACAAAGCCAGGCATCATTGTGTTACCACCAGCTAACACAATATTTCCATATAACTGATTTCTGACATCTGGATAAACGTGCATCAAATAATCATAAGTTTGAAGGGCAATACCGTTTATTTCCTTTCCATAATTTTCTGGAATAAACAATTGTTCAGTACATTCAAATCTTTCTGCACCAAGTTTGATTTCTCTTCCATCTGGGAGTTTATAAATCTTCTCAAGTTCTTTTGCGTCTTTTTTCTTTTCTGCTTCAAAGTCCTGAGCAACATAACAACATGTAGCTTTTATCTCATCGAGGGTTTCTTTTTCTGTAAAATCTTCAAAAGTGAATCCTTTTTCATTTACAATTTTCTCAATAGAGTCGCGTACATCTTTTCCAGCAAGCTCTGAACATGACACGCCCATTTGAACCTTTGAACCTTCAAAAATTGGTACAAATTGACTAACTCCATGACCAGATTCAACACAAAATCCAGTGCTCTTACCAGTCGACAACAGTGATAATACTGGTTGTGAAACCAAACAAAAAAGTGGGAAATTAAATGTTTTTATTGCAATTTGGCAAATCCTTTGTCTTGATTCTGTCGTTGTATTAACTGATTCTGTTAACAAAATTGGCAAATTTTCAGAATCTACTTCGAAATATTTTTTAATGCAATTATGAACATAACGTTCAAAATCATCGTAGTTGTTAACAATACCACGTTCTACGGGACATTTTAAAAATAATTTCTCATGACGTTCATTTGTTTCATTTCCAATATAATAATTTTCATGTGATCCAATACCACACCCCATAAAAGGTATTCTATCAATTCCGAAACCGTTTTGAATATTCTATTGGGTACCTTTTCGTTTGCAAATCCAAGTCTTGTTTTATATGAACCAATATCAAAAACTTTAACGTGAATACTCTGTGTTTGTTCTGTCATTTGTATATAAAGTGTTTAATTGTATATTGAAATACTGTTCTGTTTATTATTACACTACGTGTAATTAATAAGTTTATTTATTAAAAATTGGTTTTATGTAATTTGTGTGATAAAAAGAATTAAAAACTTTCATTAAAATTTAATGTGTAGTTTTAGAAATTAAAAATGTAATTTAAACCAAAATTAATTACTACTATATAGTTTGTAAGCTTTAATCTGGCATATTGGAAAACCCCATTTTTGTCCCAAAAAGCAAAACACAATTTACAAAAAAAGTTTGGTAAAAAAGTTTTAATTGTCATTTCGAAAATAATCAATTATCACAATAGGAATCAATAATTGCAGATAACACATGATCGGTTATCTCAACATTGTGTGTAAATTTATCGTCGTTTTTTTAGTGGCATTTCAAGAGTACAACAAAAAGCAACTTTCAACGTGTGAACGTGATAATTGGTACAGTTTTGTTCTGAAACAACAGAAAATGCATTTTGTATCAATTCTATGAATACCACACTATCGATTTTATCAACAAGTGTATTTATGGTTTCTGCATTAATATGTACACGTTCTCTTTCACGTTGAGTTTCCAAGTTTTTCAGTTCAATTTCCAAGTTCCTTGGATCATAAACATCATTAATTGCTGGAGCACAGTGTTTGTTAATTGTCTGCTCAGTCAACTCTTGATACCTTTTCTCTGACAGGTTATTCTTTACTATTGTCAATCGCTCCGCAAACAACAATCTGTTAGAATATAACCTAGAAACGTATGCTTTCACTTGTTAAAACGATCTTTCGATGGCATTGCACTGTGGAAAATTTGGTATCGTTTTTAGAACGAAGATCTTCTTCCAAAACAGTTGATTTAGGCCTCTAACGTGAATTTTTGAGTTATCCATCATCACTACTATTGTTTCACGAGGACTAAAAGTATCTTCAAAGCAAGGAATCAGTTTATGTTCACACCAAACGAGAAATTCTGAATTGTGATAAGAACCAAATTTGGTTTCAACTCACATACAAACACCTGGTATCAAAGCAGCAAGTGAAC